AACCTAACCTATTGCTAAAGATGCTGACTGTGCATAGAGCTATGTGTCCAAGCACATTAATAGAGAGGTGAAGGGAAGGAAATGATGTGGTAGAAAAAAGTGTATAAGCAATAGGGATAACTGCTCCCTGGAGAGGATTGTGAAACAAAACCCATTCCAAAATGCGGGAGTGATTCACAAAGAGTGGACTGCAGCTGGAGTCATTGCTTCAAGAACCACCACGCACAGATGTATGCAAGACAATAGTTTCAGCTGTCACATTCCTTGTGTCAAGCCACTCTTGAACAAGAGACAGTGTAAGAAGTGTCTTGCCTGGGACTGCTGCTGAGTGGTCCAAAGTTATGTTCTTTGATGAAAGTAAATTTTGCATTTCCTTTGGAAATCAAGGTCCCAGAGTCTGGAAGAAGAGAGGAGAGGCACAGAATTCACGTTGCTTGACGTCCATTGTCAAGTTTCCACAGTCAGCAAGGGTTTGGGGTGTCATGTCATCTGCTAGTGTTGGTCCACTGTGTTTCCTGAGGTCCAAGGTCAACACAGCAATCTACCAGGAAGTTTTAGAGCACGTCATGCTTCCTGCTGCTGACCAACTTTACGGAGATGCAGATTTCACTTTTCAACAAGACTTATAACCTGCACACAGTGCCAAAGCTACCAGTACCTGGTTTAAGGACCATGGCATCCCTGTTCTTAATTGACCAGCAAACTCGCCTGACCTTAACCCCATAGAAAATCTATGGGGTATTATGAAGAGGAAGATGTGATACACCAGACCCAACAATTCAGAAGAGCTGAAGGCCACTATCAGAGCAACCTTGGCTCTCATAACACCTGAGCAGTGCCACAGACTGATCAACTCCATGCCACGCCGCACTGATGCAGTAATCCAGGCAAAAGGAGCAACAACTAAGTATTGAGTGCCATACATGCTCAAAATTTTTATGTTCATACATTTTAGTTGGCCCCCTCCCTGGGCTGCCACCTTACCGTGGTGGAGGGGTTTGATTGTCTCAATGATCCTAGGAGCTATGCTGTCAGGGGCTTCACGTCACTAGTAGGTTCACCCAAGGCAGACAGGTCTTAGGGGAGGGACCAGACAAAGTGCAGCCCAAACACCCCAATGACGAGACAAATGAATGGACTCGATGTACCCTCGCCCAGACGTGGGTCACCTGGGCCCCACTCTGGAGCCAGGCCTGGAGGTGGGGCAAGTGGGCGAGCGCCTGGTGGCTGGGCTTTTACCCATGGAACTTGGCCAGGCACAGCCAGAAGAGGAGACATGGGTCCCCATTCCCATGGGCTCATTACCTGTGGGAGGGCCAAAGGGGTCAGGTGCAATGTGGGATGGGTGGTGGCTGACGGTGGGGACCCTGGCGGTCTGATCCTCAGCTACAGAAGCTAGCTATTGGGACATGGAATGTCACTTCACTGGGGGGGAAGAAGCCTGAGCTGGTGTGTGAGGTTGAGAGGTTCTGGCTAGAAATAGTCAGACTCACCTCTACGCATGGCTCTGGCTCTGGAACCAGTTTCCTTGAGAGGGGTTGGACACTCTTCCACTTTGGAGTTGCCCGTGATGAGAGGCGCTGAGCAGGAGTGGGCATACTTATTGCCCCCTATCTCCGTGCCTGTGTGTTGGGGTTCACCCCGGTGAATGAGAGGGTAGCCTCCCTCCGCCTATGTGTGGGGGGATGGGTTCTGACTGTCGTTTGTGCTTATGCACCAAACACCTGCTCAGATTACCCACCCTTTTTAGAGTTCTAGGTGGGGGAACTGGAAAGTGCACGTCCTGGGGACTCCCTTGTTCTGCTGGGGGAATTCAATGCTCACGTGGGAAATGACAGTGAGACCTGAAGGGGTGTGGTTGGGAGGAACGGCCCCCCTGATCTGAACCCGAGTGGTATTCTGTTGTTGGACTTCTGTGTTCATCATGGATTGTCCATAACAAACACCATATTCAAGCATAAGGGTGTCGATATGTGCTCTTGGCACTGGGACACCTTAGGCCACAGTTCAATGATCGACTTTGCCATCGACTCATCTGATCTGCAGCCACATGTCTTGGACAATCGGGTGAAGAGAGGGGCAGAGCTGTCCACTGATCACTACCTGGTGGTCAGTTGGCTCCAATGGTGGGGGAGGATGCCAGTCAGACCTGGTAGGCCCAAACATATTGTGAGGGTTTGCTGGGAACGTCTGGCAGAGTCTCCTGTGAGAAGGAGCTTTAATTCCCACCTCCGGGAGAACTTTGAACATGTTCCGGGGGAGGTAGGGGATATTGAGTCCGAGTGGGCCATGTTCCGTGCCTCTATTGTCGAGGCGGCTTACCGGAGCTGCGGCCGCAAGGTTGTCGGTGCCTGTCACGGCGGCAACCCTCAAACCCGATGGTGGACACCGGCAGTGAGAGATGCTGTCAGGCTGAAGACGGAGTCCTATCGGGCCTTTTTGGCCTGTGGAACCCCGGAAGCAGCTGATGGGTACCGACAGTCCAAGCAACATGCGACTTGGGTGGTCACTGAGGCAAAAACACGGGAATGGGAGGAGTTCAGAGAGGCCATGGAGAATGACTTCCGCATGGCTCCAAGGCGATTTTGGTCCACCATCTGGCATCTGGGGGGGGATACACGAAGCGGTACACCACCAACACAGTTTATAGTGGGGGTGGTGTGCTACAGACCTCAATTCGAGATGTCATGGGTCGGTGGGCGGAATACTTTGAAGACCTCCTCAATCCCACTAGCACGTCTTTCACTGAGGAAACGGAGCCTGTGGACTCTTGGTCGGGCCCTCCAATCTCTGGTGCTGAGGTCACTGAGGTGGTTAAAAAGCTCCTCGGTGGCAGGGCCACAGGTGTGGATGAGAATTGCCCGGAGTTCCTTAAGGCTCTGGATGTTGTAGGGTTGTATTGGCTTACGCGACTCTGCAATATTGCGTGGACATCGGCGGAAGTTCCCCTGGATTGGCAGACCAGAGTGGTGGTCCCCCTATTCAAAAAGTGGGACCGTAGAGTATGTTCAAAGTACAGGGGGATCACGCTCTTAAGACTCCCATGTAAGGTCTATTTGGGGGTTCTGGAGAGGAGGGTCCATCGAATAGTCGAACCTCGGATTCAGGAGGAGCAGTGCGGTTTTTGTCCTGGTCTAGGAACACTGGACCAGCTCTACACTCTCAGCAGGGTCCTGGAGGGTGCGTGGGAGTTTGCCCAACCAGTCTACAAGTGCTTTGTGGACTTGGAGAAGGCATTGGACCACGTCCCTCGGGGAAGTCTGTGGGGGGTACTCTGGGAGTATGGGGTACCAGGCCCTTTGAGACGGGCTTTTAGGTCCCTGTATGACCGGTGTCAGAGCCTAGTCCACATTGCCGGCAGTAAGTCGGGCTTGTTCCCGGTGAGAGTTGGACTCCGCCAAGGTTGCCCTTTGTCACCGAATCTGTTCATAACTTTTATGGACAGAATTTCTAGGCGCAGCCAAGGTGTTGAAGGGATCCGTTTTGGTGGCCTTAGGATTGCATCTCTGCTTTTTGCAGATGATGTAGTCCTGTTGGCTTCATCAGATCGTGATCTACAGCTTTCGCTGGAGCGGTTCACAGCCGAGTGTGACACAGCCAGGATGAGGATCAGTTCCTCCAAATTTGAGGCCATGATCTTGAGCCTGAAAAGGGTAGAGTGTCCTCTCCAGGTCAGGGAGGGTGTCCTGCCCCAAGTGGAGGAGTTCAAGTATCTTGGGGTCTTGTTCACGAATGAGGGGAAAATAAAGCGTGAGATTAAATGGCGGATAGTTGCAGCGTCTGCAGTGAAGCGGGCGTTGTACAGGTATGTCGTGGTGAAGAGAAAGCTGAGTCAAAAGGTGAAGCTCTCAATTTACTGATCGAGATACATCCTACCCTCATCTATGGTCATGAGCTTTGTGTTGTGACCGAAAGAACAAGATCTCGGATACAAGCGGCCAAAATGAGTTTTCTCCACAGGGTGTCTGGGCTCTCCCTTAGAGATAAGGTGAGAAGCTCGGCCATCCGGGAGGGACTCAGAGTAGAGCTGCTGCTTCTCCACGTCAAGAGGAGCCAGTTGAGGTGGCTCGGGCATCTGGTTAGGATGCCTCCTGGACGCCTCCCTGGTCAGGTGTTTCGGACACGTCCCACCGGGAGGAGGCCCAGAGGAAGACCCAGGACAAGCTAGAGGGACTATGTTTCTCGGCCGGCTATGTTTCTCACCACAGAATCTTGGCCTGATGATGTTGATGTTCTGCAGTCTACACTCATCTCCAGGTCAGAGGTCACTCTTTCAGGGATGATGATGTTCACATGTTCTGGATAGAGAGGAACGATGGTTTGAGAGAGGAGTAAAGGAGGCCATCTTTGTGAAAAGAAATCGTCCATCATTAAACAGGGGTGGGGGCCTCCGTGCTCATCTGTCCCCCTCTTACAATGCTGTTATTGCTAGTATCACTCAGCCTCCTGTGAATAGTAAATAGCCATCAGGGTGCTAATGATCCATTGTTAGGCTGATGGCCCTTCTTGATCATGTGAGCAGCTGGTTTGGGTTGTCAGCAGCAAACTGGTTGATCCAATCTGAGAAGGTGCTATTTAAGAGATTGAGCTAAATACAGCACCTCAGACTGAAGAAGTCTTTCGGATGAAAGACGAAACGTATCTACATTTTTTTTTTGTTTTATTTTTTTTTATGTCCAGAGGACCAGATTGAACTTTTTTAGATTTTTCTACTTGGATTATTGAGCATGCATCAGGATATTTTTCAAATGTAATTTCGTTTTTTCAAATGTAATTTTGTTTTTTGAAATGTAAGTCAGTTTTTTTTAAATATTGTTCATTTACAGCTCAGTGCATCGTACTTGACAAAGATGCAAACAACGCAAAAGATGCCGTGTTGTGTTGCTTTGGTCAACATCAACTGCAAACACATTTTTATCAGGTGAATGTCTGAAATTGCAAACACTTGTGTGTCTGTTTACGTCCCAGTGTGCGTTTGCATATTTTCATGTCATACTTACAGAGAAGTGAGTGAACGAAGACCACTAAAAGCATCCGCAGCAATGTCAGAAATCTGGTTCTTACTCAGATCACTGGGGAGAGAATCAGATACTGTAAAGCAACGTAACAGGCTGTATTCTTCATGGATGTCCTAGAATTGTCTGAAAAATGATCGTGCCATTAAGCATCAGCTGAGGTCAAGGCAAGGCGACGAGAACAAGAAAAAAGCCAGAGGATGAGCAGAGCGTGCAAAGAAATGAGGTGGAGAAAGACAGTGATGGGCAAAGAAAAGGAAAAGACAACTAAAGAGACAGGACAGAGAGAAGCTGCTTGCAGTGGCACGCAAAGTGCACGAAGTGCATGTCTTTCACTTCTGTTCACAGCTGAAAAATATATCATTATACTATGCAGTTGAAATGATGTTAGAACCATCTGTAGGAACCTTTACAACCTTCTCCATTCTACATGTCAAGATTTTTCATTGAATTACAAGATCAAAACATTTTTTTCAACCACTTCATATCTTGTAGGTTGTTGATTTTGTTTTATTGATGCTGTTTTGATGCATTTCCTTTTAGAAAATATCAAATATATATCAAGCTAATAATTGTAAAAAGAACTACAGAGAAATAAAACATTGTGATAGATAGAACATTACTAATAGCCTTCTGCATGATAAAGTCATACATTTTTACAAGTTATTAATAAAAAAAATAATCATAATTATTGTGACTTACATTCTCTTGAGTTTATTGTAGGCTGAAAAGGCTCCTGGTGGGACACTTTTGATCAAGTTTTGCTCCAAACGACTGGAAACAAAAAGAAAAGAAAAGAAAAACACAAAAAGAAAACCAGGATGGATTTATTTCATTTTAATGACATTGTTTAAGTATAATAAAAATTAACTCTAATAAACATTGACAAGTGATTATTATGAAAACCTTTTGTCCACATAGCAACACAGAAAGCTTTAGACAACAGTTTCAGTCCTCTGTAGGCTGGTCAGTTCTGTCAGTCAGTCAAGCTCAAAGAATGTGGAGCTCAAAGAATGTGGGATGCTAAATCAGCGTTAGCAGCTCTGCACCTTAACCATGTGTGCGTTTACTGCAGCCTAATCTAGGTAAAGACAAAAACATCACAACTTTATACCATACCATACCATTTTATTTATAAAGCACTTTAAACAGTGACAGGGCCAACCAAAGTGCTGTACAAACAGAAACAAACAGGCAAAGCACACAGCAACACATGACATAATGTAAAATCAAAATATAGAAACAAAATAATAGCAGATAATAACATAATGACTAACACAGTGTGATGCATACAGGATCAACACAAATCAAACATTGTTGAAAGCCAGGGAATAGTAGTGGGTTTTTAAGCAGAATTTAAAAACTGTGAGGGAGGGGGCCTGTCTGCTTGGGCTTGCACAGAGAAGGCCCTGTCACATCTGTGCTTAAGACGGTTTTCTGGAACTGAAAGAAGCAACTGGTCTGCGGACCTCAGAGAATGCAGTGGGACATAGAGCTGCAGCAGATCAGTGAGATAGGAGAATGCAGGGCTGTTCAGTGATTTATAGACATACAAGAGTATTTTGAACTGGATACGAAAGTGAACCGGCAGCCAGTGCAGGAAGGCCAAAAAAGGGATAATATGCTTTTATCTGTACTGGTTAAAAATCGGGCTGCCGCATTTTGGACCAGTTGCAATCGTGCAATGGAGGTCTGATTGATACCAAACAGGAGTGAATTGCAGTAATCAAGCCTAGATGTAATGAATGCGTGTATTACTGTCTCCATATTATTTTTGGACAATATAGGTTTGAGTTTAGACAGTCACCTCAGCTGGAAAAACAGGATTTAACAATCATGTTTACATGACCTTACATGGTCTTCCGGTAAGATGTGCCCGTGTACATGGCCTGCAATCTGACGATACTGTTTGGATTATTTCTGCTTTTTTCGTTTTTTGTCTTGGATATCAACTCGCTGCTTGTGTATGACCGACAACAGCTCCTCGATCTTCGATTGTCTGTTTCTGCTGTCGCTGATTCGGACCATTTTGATCGTCCCCTCCCTCCCCCCCTTCCACCACTTCTGGCAGACGTGCCTGCTTGTTTACGCTGGGCCCCAAGCCTGCCTTCTCGGAGATATCGATCCAGACGCCGGGGAAAACGTGCTGGCCGGCTGGTAAAACTCAAAGCTCTGCGTGGTCAACGTTTCCACAGCCAGCTTCCTACGTGCCCGGACCAGGGAAAATATGGGTGTTGTCTACCGGCCCGGCGCTTGGACCATCCTGCAGGCGCTGTTTTTAAAAATCTGCAACCGTTGGCGCGCACCACCCCCACCATGGCTGGTTCTGTGTCGGACCAGATCAGGACGTGCCTCATCAACACAAGGTCTGTTGCCAACAAGACTTTTATTCTAAATGACTTTTTTAAAGACGAGGGACTAGATTTTCTTTTTCTCACGGAATCCTGGTTGCCTTTGGGTGATTCAAGCACCTTGGTGGAACTTTTACCTCCTGACTGTCTGTGTTTTAATGCCCCGCGGCCATCAGGCCTGCGGGGTGGTGGAATATTAACTGTATTTAAATCAAACTTTTCCTGTAAACAGTTGTCCACCCTCATGCCCTGCTCCAGTTTTGAGCTGAGTGCTTTTGAACTCTGACATTCTCCTACCGTTCTGTGCGCGATTGTTTATCGCCCCCCTCGTTCCAAGGACTTCATAAGTGAATTCTCTGATTTTCTGGCTTACATCACACAAAGATATGATCACTTTATTATCGTTGGTGACTTTAATATTCACGTCTGTTGTCAGGAGAAGCCGTTAGTGAAGGACTTCCTTGATTTGTTGGACTCATTTAATTTAACTCAACATGTAAATGGTCCCACCCAACAACACGGTCACACTCTGGATCTCATTTTAACACGTGATGTCTCTGTTTGTAATTTGGTAATCGGTGACAACGTTCTCTCAGACCACATGCCTGTCTTGTTTGATATCATCCCGCCTTGTCCTACTGCTAAGTCATGTGATTCGGCTCGTACTTCACGCGCCATTAACCGTTTCACTGTTGCACGTTTTACTGAAGCTTTTACCTCTGAGAGGATCGATCAGCTCTCAGTGTCTCTCTCCACCGAGGAGCTAACCTCTCAGCTGAACTCTGTTTGCTTAAATATTCTGGACCATGTTGTTCCCGTTAAAACCAGGAAAACAAAACTTTTATCAGAACCATGGCTTAATGACGTCACTCAAGCCGTTAGACAGCAGTGTAAGAGAGCAGAACGCAGGTGGAGGAAAGACAGTGTAGAAGAACAAATGCTGAGATATATTCATCAATTAAAACGGATTCTTCATTTTTCTGGACTGAATAAAACATGCATTGAATTTAATGAAATGTAAACGTGAGACGTCATTTATCTTTGACCCATCAAAATGAATGCGGTCATTTATTTTACAGAATCAAAGTTTAACATCAAACATTTACATTAATTTGGCAAAATATGAAAATAACAACATAATCGATCAACTTTACAACCAGGAAAACCATACGGCCATGATTTTCCGTTGCTTCACCACAGACATTTATGAAAACTGTACAATTATGATCAATTATCCACACGGCGGTGGATGAGCACTTTACACAGACATTTCTAAATTATCTGGAAGGATTTCTACTTGAGAGAAGAATTTAAAGATGGAAATGAAGTTAAAGGGAGTAAAAGATGGTGTGTGAGGGGGAGTGTTGACCAGAACCGACACTCTCCATTAGAACCCAGCTTTTCCTCGGTACGCTTTGGTAGGAAACTTGACTCGTTACCTTTCTGAAGATAAATCAGCAGATATGGAGGTCCAGTTAACGCTACCTGTCCAGCGTCTCCATAGGATGGCTGTGACTCGTCCGAAGTAGTGACGAGATTCCGTCCGACATCAGCTCACCTCAGCAAGTGGACTTCACATGAGTGGAGTCCTTCAGAAGTTCCACTCAGAGGTGGAAGATGTTATAATCCAACTCGAAGAGCCTTATCATGGCTGGACTTCTGTTCTCCCAAACGACTTCACAGAACTGCGAACATCTCAGAACTTCTCCGCGCCGCCGAACTGAGAGAACTAGGAAGTACCGGCATTTTAAAGAGCTCTATTTCCGGTATATTTGAGCGTCCCTGATTGGTCAAAAACAACCAGACAGGGGTGTGGTTTGTGACGTAAGAGGTTACTAGAAGTCAGAAAACAGCAAGAATTGTTATGGAACAGATTAAACTGTTCTCAGAGACAGAGAGAGTTTTGTTTTGGCGAGTTTTAGAAACAGGTGCCAACTTCTCCGTTGACGTCTGAGAGGATGTAAACAAGACAGTTGTTCCAACACATGTCTGCTTCGACTCCTGACCTTGGAAAACGCACACTTGCTCATTCAAAGACAGAAATCAGAAAATGCATAAAAACTCTGTAACAGGCCTTAACATGAATTCTAACTTTGCATGAGGATTAAAAAATCATTACACTGTTTCACAGTTAATAAAATTGATTAGTTCACTGTAACATCTAAAATGATTTGAACTAAGACACTTTGATTATCAACATTTGTAAAATAGTAATGATAATAAAAAGAGAGTGTTCTTTCACTTGATTTTCAAGAAGGAAAGTCTCAGGATGGGTGAACCTGTATTTCTGGATTCAAATCAATGAAATGACAGTTTCTGTCCCACAAGGTTCTTAAGGTCAAGGGTTTTGACCTTAGGCTTAGTTTTGACATCAGGTTAAGTTCACTACAACAGGCTGCAGGTTTCTTTTCAACTCCTAAAGGAGAGTTGGCGTCATTATCAGAAGGCAGTTAAAGCCGCCAAATCGAAGTTCTTTTCTGCTATAATTGCCTCAAACTCCCACAACCCCCGAGCCCTTTTTTCCACCCTGAACTCAGTTCTACACCTCAGTGAACCTTCACCTCTAGAAGCCTCAACTGAGCTGTGTGAAATCTTCCTCCATTTCTTTTCTGAAAAAGTTGCAAACACCCGGGCACTCATTTCTCCACCTGCTCATGATCCGTCCATTCCATCTCATTGTGTTGCTGTTCTTGACCACTTCGAGACCATCTCTCTGTCTTCCCTGGAGCAGGTCATGTGCGGCATGAAGCCATCTGGCTCCCCTTTTGACGTTGTCCCCCCTCGACTCCTTAAGGAGCTTCTTCCTGTTCTGGGCCCTCCTGTTCTTGGCATTGTGAACAGCAGCTTAGCCTCAGGTGTGGTGCCAATAACTTTTAAACATGCTGCTGTCCAACCTCTCCTGAAAAAAACTAGCCTTGACCCCTCAGTCATGTCCAACTTCCGGCCTGTCTCCAGACTCCCATTTGTCGCTAAACTGCTGGAAAAAATAGTGGAGTCCCAGCTGAAATGCTTTCTAGAGGATAATGCCATCTTAGAGCTATTCCAGTCTGGCTTTAAACCTCTCCACAGCACTGAAACTGCTCTACTCAAGGTTTTTAATGACATTCTCCTATTCACAGATGCTGGTGATTCTGTGCTCCTTCTCTTACTGGACCTCACATCTGCCTTTGATACAATCGACCACGAGATCCTCATTGCGAGGTTAGAGCAGTGGGTGGGCATCACTGGGTCAGCCCTCGAATGGTTTAGATCTTACCTCGCTGACAGGTCCTTTTGTGTCTCCATCAAAGATTTTAGTTTAGCCTCAGCAGCGCTTAAATGGGGGGTACCGCAAGGGTCCATCCTTGGTCCTCTTTTATTTTCTTTATACCTGCTGCCACTAGGTGCTATTTTCAGGAAACATAACATACCTTTTCATTTCTA